TTCTTATCCAAGGTCCTTGAGGCCTGTGTCCACAAGCAACTTTCGCAGTTTATCTCTCGTAATAACTTATTAAGTCCCTTGCAGTCTGGCTTTAGGCCCGGTCATAGTACCGTTTCCGCACTCCTGAAAGTAACTGGTGATATTAGGGCAGGCATAGAGGACACTAAAGTCACTGTGTTGGTTTAGGTTGACTTCTCAAACGCCTTTAATACCATTAGTTATGACATTCTAATTTCCATCCTTTCCCGTTCTATGATCTCACCTGAAGCACTGGATTGGTTTTCATCATATCTTCGAGGGCGCCAGCAGTCGGTTCGCATCGATGAGCTATCATCTAGCTGGCTTGACATACATGCTGGTGTCCTTCAAGGCGGCATATTATCTCCTTTGTTGTTTTCTATATTTATTAATCTCATTACTCAAAACCTTCAGTCTGCGTATCATCTGTATGCTGATGACTTGCAATTGTACACACGAATTGTACAAGCGAGTATTGACGATATTTCTACAGCGGTGGACATACTTAATAGGGATCTTGAGTACATTAAGAACTGGTCTGACAGGTTTGGCCTAATGGTCAACCCTTCGAAGTGTCAGGCCATAATAATTGGTAGCTGTCCGATGATCCAGAGATTGAAAACAGTAGCTCTACCTCCTATCTTTTTTAATAATACTGAGATTCAATTGTGTTCCACTGTGAAGGATCTAGGTTTATTAATTGATTCTACTTTGAGTTGGAAAGCCCAAACAACGACCGTTAGCCAGAAAGTCACTGGTACTCTGAGTTCTCTCTATCGCCTAAAAAATTTTCTACCATCTGAAATTAAGACAATGCTTGTGCAGAGTTTAATTTTTCCCCTAATCAGCTATGGTGATGTGTGTTATTTCGACCTGAATGCAGATCTTCTCAACAAATATGACCGTCTTCTGAATAACTGCATTCGATTAATTTTCAATCTTCGAAAGTATGACCATGTATCCACGTATCGATCTCAATTAAAATGGTTACCTATTCATCAACGCCGTAGTTTGCGTGCACTCACCACCCTTTATTCTATCCTGATGTCTCCAACTTCCCCTTCCTACTTATCTCCTTACTTTCAGTTGCTTAGTGCTAGTCATGAGAGAAACCTCCGCTCTACGAACAACCTTCTTCTCCTATGTCCCTCCCATAGCTCTGGACTTGTTCATTCTTCTTTCCACATTCAATCTATTCTCCTTTGGAACGCACTCCCTCTCGAAATCAGGACGAGTTAGCAATCTCTAGCAATCGGTACGCGTTCAAGATGAAGGTTCGGGAACACTTACTTAATAAATTGGCAGAATCATCATAGTAACAGTTTATTTATATATATATATATGTATATATATATATATATATATTTATATTTATATCCTTTTATATACATATATGTGTATGAATATTAATATATTTTTGTAAATTTATTTGATAACATGTATATTTGTATATCGTTATGAGTTTATACACATCTGACATTATAATATGTACTTATGTATTATACATTTTTATTATCTTAGTTATTTTATTTTTCATTTTATTATAATTAATTTTATCTATTTTTTTGCGATGTACCATTTATATCTTATGTATTTTATTTCCATGTATTACAATTTTTTTTGTTATTTTATTTTAGTATTCGCATATTAACTTTTTATTACACCTACTTCATTCTATCTCTGCATCATCATCCCAAGGTAGACTGGGTGAGAATGCCTTAGGCATTAAGTCCGCCTATATACCACTTGTGTATATGAAGTTTTAAATAAATAAAACACAGTATTCTACTACAAGTGCTAGTTTGTTAACACCGATTTGTTTAATTTTTTATTACTAACACGGTTATTGTGAACGTAGAATTGGGATTGTTTACCTTTTGCGATGATCGATATCTAAAAAAGAGATAAGTCACATGCGCTCGGTCTTTATACAAATTACAAACACACTGTTCTAGATAAGTTATCGATCATTGTTGTACGACATTACGTAACGCAGGGGAATTGTAACCTTTATTGGCTTGCAACGCTTATGTGAATTCGAATCGCGAATTTTACTAAATTATTTTAATTCAAATTACGTTTAAGGTTACCCTTCAATGTTTACTTTTGCGTTAAATGGTGCGACTAATATTAAATAATTTAATAAAATAAAATAATTATACTGATATTATATAATCTTGGGAGGATCAACACGCACTTGGTCATTTTTAGATTTATGACTGTCATTAATCATTATACTAGCATAGTTATCACATTAAATAACATTTACGAAAATAACCTTTAGAAATACGTTTTTGAGCTTTATACGTAAAAATATACCTTTGAAAAATAATTGAATATCTTTTAATCCTTCAGACCCGAAAATTCAGACTAACTGCAAAGCAGAAAAGGTGTCAGACCACCTAGGAATGAAATGTGAACGCGCGTTTATGAAAAGAAACTTCACGTTCATTATACTTATTTCTAGCAATACATTAATACATACATATATCACCATGACAAGTAATGACCGGTTGAGAACTTTGTTTTTATTATTCGGGTTATGACGTCATGTCCCGACATAGAAATAAACATTCGCAAAATGTATAAAGGCCGTTGAATATCTCCTTTTCTTTTAATTTTTTACACTACTTTTGTTAATAATTTTATATGAAAATTATTTTTAATTACTTTATACTTCGATTGAATTGCAACACGCAGAATATGCTAAGGTACTAATTGAAAGGGTCATGAAAGAAACTGATGGAAAAATTTGGGATGTATAAGCGGGATTTGTAAAGAGAATGGGGTACTGACGAAGTATTTTCCATGCGCATGATCGTGGCAAAGTTTTGGCCAAAACCCAAAAAATTTTTTGTGTGTTCATGGACGTGTAAAAGGCTTATGAAAGAGTGGACAGGAATGTGTTATGGCAAACTCTGAACTCATTTGGGTTGAACGCTGGGTTGATACAGTCATTAAAGTCTCTTTATACTCTAGTGCTTGTGTAAGGATCAACGGGGTCTACTCGGACTGGCTTGGCATCCATAAAGGTATCAGACAGGGCATGTGACTTCCCCGTGGCTGTTCAACCTATTAATGGACAGTTGTTTGGAAAATTTGAAAGTTGAAGAATGCGGATTAAGAATTAACCGTCAAAGGCCTTTTGTGCGCCGATGATCAAGTAAGACGAAAGTTACGGTTTTTGAAGTAAAACAATATGTGAAATAAGAATAGAAGTAGGGTTGATCGAGCAAGTAGATGAATTTGTATATTTGTGATGCATATTTAGCAAAGATGGGAGATATGATAAGTATATAAAACGACGAGTGAACGCAGAAAATAGAGTCAATGGGCCCTAAACTCTGTTGTGAAAAGTAAAAAAAGACACGTATAGCAATTCACAATGCTGTGTTAGTCCTTACTTTAACGTATGGTAGTGAAAGTTGGGTGTGGTGGAAGAAGCACGAGTGTAGAATAAGCGCAGCAGCAATGCGATCGTTAAGGAGTATGTTAGGGCTGAATCTCAGTGAAAGGGTGAGAAATTGTGTGATAAGAAAAGAGTGTGGTTTGCAAGATGATGTTGTGGCCAGGATTAAGAAAGGAATGCTTCGGTGATTTGGTCAAGTGGAAAGAATGAATGAGGAAAGAATAACAAAGCAAATTTATGTTGCAGAAGTGAACTGCATAATCGGAAAAGGACGTCGTAGGCGAAAGTTTATCGACCAAATAGGTGATATATTAAAATGGGCCAAAATTAGGAGTACCCTTAACAGACGAGCATGTATGCGTAGGTATATGGATGTGGAGGAGGCGAGAGAGGTGTGTCAGGATCGTGCCAAATGGAAGTCCGTAGTTTCTGCCCACCCCCCTAGGTGACAGTCGTAAGTGTTCATGTTTTTTTTATGTATTTCAATTTTTCAATATAAGGAAAAGCTGGTGTCCATCGTGATATCGACATAATCACCAAGGAAAATACAATAATCTATAAAAACTGGTTAGTTGAACTAGTATAAATAAATTTCCACATACCTTGTTTAAATTTGTTTCTATAAGCACAGTCGGTTTTCCATTTGAAGTTGAATAAAATTTTGTTAATTTCTCATCGATACAAGAATATGATTTCCTTAACTGATATTCCCCTTACAATTTCTATAGAAGTTACATTTTGATCGTTCATAAAAGTATAAAATACAGCCTGGATCACTCAAAGCATTGTTATCTAACCTGCTCGTGAAGTTTTATTACAATCGATTTAGCCATTCTGGAGATTAGTTCGAACAAACAGACTGACTTTTTAAAATGGTTATTTATGACGCAAACAAACTGTGCTCAATAAGGACCACTAATTCGAAATTACATACGGACACTTTAATTTTATTTATATGTTATTTTATTTTATTTATATAGATTTAGAAAGTGAGGAATTGAACGTGTTTAATTATTCTCCATTCACATTATGATTTCAGTCAGAATGAAAGTGACACATTATGAATTATTTCTGTTGACAATGTAAAGAATGTTTCGGATTTCATCCCCTAGCAAATCTAGTAATTCATCAAATGTAGCTTCTGACATCCCGTGTTATTCGAATAATCTGTCAGGATACTGGTGTAATTTTCTCGCCGTAATGTTGTACAGGCCCTACGAACTATATTTACATTAAGATTATGAATCTGTGTATTGATTAGCTTTTTAAATATAAAGAACCATTGCGATGAGTACCATTTTCTCTTCCCTATTTACAGACGAAAGACGTTCGCCTGAACCGAGATTACACGAGACTACCGATAAATTGTTTTCAAATATGTGCAAGGAAAGGTGTTGGAATTCAGATTATGCATTTCGACCATGAATTCAGAGATATTCTGTCTATTTAAGTCCAGCCTTAAAGTAGCTTTATAGGACCAGTGTGTCAGAATAAAATATTTTTTCTAAGTTGCAGATATGCTCAGAGAGACAGTTACACATTGTTGAAATGATTAAGCAAAACTGCTGTTTACCTTAAGCGATGCCATATCAGATACGGAGCGGTGTGTTTGGATGGTCTCGAGCTGATCCAGACACCAGTCCAGCTCCTCCACGGTCTCTAAGGCTAGTTTCATGTAGGCTTCATCTGAAACAAAAAAAAAAGACAAAATTAGCACTGAACTTTTTTGATATTAAAAGAACTTATATTAATATATAAAAAAAGATAATATGTTAGGAAATCAATTGTTTTACATAATTTGTAGAAACAAGGATGGTAAAATAATTTAAGTACCTACATTAAGTATAACAGATCAGATCACCGCCTAATACTACGATTGAATATGTGCCACCTTCTAAAATGTCCAACCAATTAGAGGTCTATAGTTTAACATAATTTTTTACGTGGTAGAGTCATGCTGCAGCTATATTGCGGTTGCAGCATGAATGCGCGCGGTTGGGGAGACCCTTTTTACTTGAAACGAGGCATTCCATCTCGGTCCTTAGGGCTGGCAATGCATCTGCATTTTGATTTTTAATTGAAGATAAATGTCCATGGATCACAGCTCACAGCATCCACTTAACATCAGGTGGACTGTGTGCTCGTTTGTCACCCTTATACTTAAAAAAAACATAATAGTGATCTATTAAATAAAAGGACTGTAGTAAAAATGGTTACTGAACTGAAAACGTAAATTTTGATTTTGTCTTCTTCTTCATCTAAAGTCCTCAGTTTGATAATAAAACGAAAATTCTTCATTCGCTATTCATCAGGATGCACCACTAATAGTCCTCAGTTTTGTACGATAATGGGTCTGGTCTGGGTATTTTACGTCTGTCGTGAACGTGAAGATTATAACGCCGTCCATCTGAAGCCTGAGGTCTGTGTGGCATTTCACACAGTCACCGATGTATGAGATGATGAATCACATCGTTTTATTGGTGCTATTAATTTCTTTTTTAACAAATGCATTGAGAGGGAGGTAATAACCAGTATATTGTTTAATAGCGATTGTGATGAATAGCGAATGAAGAATTTTTGTTTTATTATCAACAAAGTGTGGCATATCAAAACCAACAACAATATGCTCCGTGTATTCATTCATTAATTACAGAATATCAACATAGGCCTCTCCATAGATTGCCTCTTAAGGGGAATATATTGCCATTCTAGAGAGAATCATCCTAGTGAGCCTGATATAGATATATATATATATATATATATATATATATATATATATATATATATATATATACTAGGATAAAATTATTAAAATTTTTTGTTACTTGTTGTTGTTTAAAAATATTTTAAATTAAAATTGAATTGCCATAGAACTAAATAGCATTTAATTATCTTATTTGTAGAGCGACGTGGTAGAGCCACGTCAAAGATATACCGCACTCGTACGCAAAACCATGCTACTGTGATTTATTTGGTATTATGTGCATGGGTTCTGAGACACATTGTACCGATAATTACTAATTAGGAATCCCTGTTAGTGCTCAGTGGTAACAACGTATCTACATTTTGTTTCTTAATAGAGAAAAGCTGTAGATGTCTATGAACAACAGCATTGGCTTACAAAAGGTGAACAATGTGTTCGATTGTCGTCTAACTTATCTATAATCCTGTAGTATATAAAAAGGTATATAGACCGTTCCAAAGGAGAGGTTTTCGGTTTAAAATTAATTACTGGTAGTGAGTAAGGTAAGTAAGTAGCGGTGTAGATTACACAAAGGCATGGACTTTGATAGTTGTTTGTGTGAGATAGTTGATATTTATTGTGAAAGTTGTTTAAAATGCTCAACCCTTTAATGATGTTTTAAAATCATAATAGTATTGTATTATAATTTATACACTTACATATGTTATTTTTATATATAAACACAAGGTCAATAAATTCGCTTTATCAATGGCAATAAATAAAGCTTGCTTGGAAAAAAGAAAACCTGAGGTGTATATAATGTATGTGTATGTCTGCTCAAACACTATTTTACGCGCCATTGGTTTTATATATCTATATGAATTGGTTTTAAAAAGATATTTATAATTTATATTAAGTAATTGAAATGTTTACTTTTTCATCACTGACTACGGTTCTCTTTTTAAATAGATTTTGGTTGATAGCAGTTTTATTAATTTTTCTATACAACACCACAAAATAGAGTAGAATAGAATATTTTTTAATTAAATATAGAAATATAAAAAATAGTTTCCGGTTCTCTACTATCATCATAAGAAACAGTAGAATTGAGCTGCCATCATCGTGTGCTGTCGAGCCGAACCATTCTACCCACATAATAATATAATACTCATGGCTCTACACGTGGTATGTTAAATGTATTGTAACTCTTATAAAAATGTCCTTATGGTAATTACATAATATTCAATCGAAATCAATGCTTTAATTTATTTTTTGCTATTATTATTGATAAATATTTATCGGCCATCAGCTTCAACTTTCTAGTTATAAAAGACTAGCTGCTACCCGCGACTTAAGCGCGAGTAAAGTAGCCTAAGTTATTCCTCATAACATTAAGTATCTGCCAGTGAAAATCCCGTTCGAACAAATTGGTCCAGCGGTTCCGGAGGTTAGCCGGAACAAACAGATGACAAAAATTTTAAAAATTGTGTTTTTGTTATAAGTAACGTATATACTTTCACATAAATTTATTAAAAAGCTGTTATTTTGACATTCCAAACAGACACTTCAGTTTTATTTGTGTGTACAGAGTATAGACGTAGGTATGTATAGAAAATAAAAATAAAATAATGTTCTTAAACAAGCGTTAAACGAGAACCCTGAATAGGTACCGTAGTATATAATGTAGTTTTTGATTATACAAGGGGTCTTCTTAGCACCCCCTGCCCCGCCGTTACCATTGTCGCCACCGTAGCCAGGAATAGCGGAGCCGCCGGTGACTGGGGCCGTTTATTTGTGTCGTTCCTTATTTTGTTCCTCCTCATGTTTGCCACAGTTGCCACGCTTGGCGAGCGGGTTGGCAACCGCAGTTTTTTATTGTATAATTACTATTATCAGGAAGATGCTGCTGTCCATCTCCTGCCTGTATCCCTCTGTCGCCTCTTACGACACCCACGGGAAGATATGGGGTAGTGGATATTCTCAACCGCCGCAATATTCAAGACAAAAATACAATATTTCTATAAAGGCCGACAATGGCGTGAGGTTAGAGCCTTCAGACTGAATAGCCCCGAAAATACTACTTTACTTTGTTATAAAAAGTTTGCAGCCCCAGTCCCGACTTTTGTACCCAGCGTTTTGAAGTGAAAAAGCGACTATCCTTTACATGACATTTTATACTTTACAAAGTAAATCATGTCTAATTTAGGATATTGAAACAAAATTCCCGGCTTATTAGCATAAAAAAATCGCTATATTTTGCGAGCCTAGATCTGATGTTAAGCAGGTTTCAGAAAAATTGTTACATAGAGGCAATGTAAATTTGTAAAGAAATTGGAATGGAAGGTCCGATTACCGTTATTAATTAAATTATAATTGATGTGCAAAACAATCCTTGAGGCACTGCCGGCTTTAGTTTTATTAGTACAGATAAATTAATATTAAATCGATGTAGAATTGTTAAGGTTTACGAATAGTTGTAATCATTTTCCTCATCCTCAGCACTGTACCACAGCCTAAGAGGAACATGCAGTCAGTCATCGCGTTTAAAGTTGACCCTAGCAATTTATTGTATGTCGGTTGTAAAAAAAACCGACATAAAATAAATTGCTAGGGTCGTCAGAATGGGATGTAATAAGATTTTATTTTATTTCACGTTTAAACAAATTCCGCATCTCGCCCCGCACCGCACCGCGCCCCGTTTAGACGCTTTCGATGACCGACTGTTAGTAGTGGTAAGACTGTGACTGTGCCAAGTTTTTTGTTTCAGTCTTTCAATGCGAGAGTAAGAAGACCACACTAACCCGCCTGCCGTGTGTAGTTAGTGTAGGTTAATCCTTCAAGGTCATATGCTAATTGGCCAAGCTTAGAAAGGCTGATATTCAATATATGATAAGCTATTAAGCCGTAATGATGACGATGGAGAGCAGTGTTTAGTAGGACGTGTGCCGTTTTCTCGTGAGATCATCGATACCAATCGATAGTACTACCAACCATGGCGATGACAAGAAAACTTTTTTTAGGCTGGTAGGGCTTAGTGTCTATTATGTGAACATGTCTATATGCCCTGTATATCTATGTCTATGTACCCATTTTTATGAGCCTAGTAGTAGACGGTGAAGTTTATAATCAATACAATATATATTTGTTAGTTATATATAAGTATCTACATGGTAGAGCCATGCTGCAGCAATATTAAAGTTGTAACACAAATGGTTCAGCTCGACCGGGGAAGGACCACACTCTCACAGAATACCAGCGTAAAATATCAGCTTAACGCTGCTGATTTTCGTATTGTGAGTGTAGTGAATCGAAGACCCTTTTATTTATTCATTTATTTAACTTCATATACACAGATGTATGTAGGCGGACTTAATGCCTGTGGCAGTATCTACCAGCCTACCTTAGAGTAGTGCAGAGATAAAAGAGGTAGGTGTAATAAGAAGTATGTACAACATATATTTTTTTTTTTTTTTTTTTTTTCTCCTTCCTTTTCTCTGAAAACGAGGCATTCCATCTTAGTCCTCACGGGTAGCAACGCATCTGCATTTTGATTCGTAATCGAGGATAGAGGTAGAGTAGGTACCTCAAGTCGACTGTATTTTCTTATGTGTGTTACCTCATAGCTTTGTTCGAGGTGCACCGATTTTGATGATTCTTTTTTATTTGAAGGTTAGTGCTTCTCATGTGATCCCATTGATCTCTTGATAAGCATTATTAAAGATACCTTAAAATGTAGTAAAGTAGTTTTTGAGGTATCCTTAATAATGCTTCTTTAATAGACTTCGACTATATTGATGATGTTCTTGTTTTATTTTTATTGAAGTCGGTAGAACAAAATTTTTAATTTTTTCTACTTGTTGCCAATGAAATTTTTGGAAATTATTTAATCGTTAATTACGCCACACCCACGAATTGAGTTTATTATTTGATTGATTATATTCCTGTGACACCGCTCAATTTTTTTTAAATAAGCTAGTACTAAATTTGTCATTGTCAAGCCAAT